GCCATAAGTTTACCAGATTTATGATGCTCAGAGCTGAGAACTTCATAATTTTGAGAAGAAAACCTATTGCTGTAAGTTTTAAGCTATTATATGTAAATTATTTAATTATCTTCTTTTTTAAAAATTTATGTATATCTTCTTCAGGGGTATGATATTAGCTTCCTACTTACCAATTTTCACATGGAACAAATGTACAAACATAAGTTGGTAGATTTTATTATTCAATTCATGGAGGAAGTGGACAAAGAAATTAGTGAAATGAAATTAAGTCTAAATGCTCGCGCTCGTATTGTTGCTGAATCTTATTTGTCTCAGGTTTGTAATATTTATTCATTTATTTATATTTTTATTGAAAGACAAAGCTAATTGTATATTATATCGATCTGTAGTTTGCTTAATTTATATTATTTGAGTAGTGTTTGTGTCGTTTTACCTTTTATACATTAAATTTGGGTTTATTATGTAAAAATATTTCGCTTCCAAACTCTAGATTTAAGTGGATCAAGCGTCAATATAATTATATAGATAAAATTGTATATATAAAGGGTGATTTTTTCTTTACTGTAGGTGCGGAAATTTTGAAGGTTAGAGGTAGTTGCCTCTTCACGTCATATAAAATTTGGGTAGTGATGTCTATACATCATTGCTGTATGTTATGTTTTAATGTCTGCGGTCCTGCATTTCACCATCTTGCTTTGCCACTTTTGTTTCATGGTAAATAACCTGTTATTTATTCAAATAATCTGAGTTTTGATAGTAATTACCGTCAATTTACATGCAGAGCATTACAAAAGGTTTGTTTTTTTGTTTATTTATCGTATTTAATTATACCTATTTTTAACCGGTAGTGATGTCACCACCTTTAATTTTTATCAAAATTTAAGGTTAAAAAAAAAATAAGGGTTAGATACGTATAAAAGTTCAAATTATAGTTAGGGTTAGGTTTTTGGGGTTTTGAACATTTTTGCTTAGTATCCCTGACATGAGTTAGCTAGTAGGTTTTTGAGATACAGTATCCTGGGTGACATCATCCGGGGGTAAGTTAGCAACAGTTTTTGTAAGATATCTGAATATAAATCAAAATCTGATTTAATAATAATTTATTTTTTTTTATGATAAGCTAATACTCTCTTT